GCCCAACTTCCTCCCAAAAAGAGCCCTTGGGAAAGCCACCCCCAAGCGCCGGGTCTCCCCTCCATCCCCTCCGCTCGCGCAACACCCCACCGGGGCGGGCAGAATGCCGTTTAACCGCCACGTTCAGCGCTCACCCTTTGGGTTCCGCTTTCTCCTCTTTCGCTTTCTCCTCTTCTTTCTCATCTAGAGGGAAAAAACCCAGAGGACACCGAGTAGAGCAGCGGGAAGGGACGTGCCAAGCGCAGTCCCGCAGACTGGGAGGGCTTCTCGTCCCAGCTCTCAGGCTTACCTTTCTTCTCCTCTTCCTCCTTCTCCTCTTCCGTCTTCACGCGCTTGGCCTTCTTGAAGTTGGCCACGTTTTTGCGCCCTCCCTCCCCTTCATCTTCGGAGTCAGAGAACTCCTCGTCGCAGGATATCCTCTTGTCAGAATTGCGGACTGAGTGCGAGACAAGGGGTCGTTTGAGCAGATGGAGAAGCCGGGAGGCACCCAGCACTAACCTCTCCAAGCGCGCCTACGCTCCGGAACGCACTCACAACGCCGGGCGCGACGACAGCCGGCGATCCAACCCCTTCTGCCTGCCGCAGCTCTGAGCTCGTCACACCCAACCACCCCACGCTCAAGATCCGAGCTGACACGTACGACTTGGGTTAGGTACGGCGCCACGTCGAGACCTGACAGCACGGGCAGGTTAACGGCCTCGCGCTCAGAGAATCCACCGGCCAACCTGGCTACACACCGCGAAGGCAACTTCTGGGATCGGGCCCAACAGCCTCCAGGAAAGTATTCCGTCCCAGCACCTAGGCCACAGGAGCTGTTCCATTCTCACCTTAAAGCCCTGGTTCTCCCACTATGGAAATCATTTGGCAAAAGTGCCATTTCTCCATAGGAAAAGGAATCTGTCAGCCCTGCTCAGCATCACTGCTTGGCAACAAAATCAGGCGGAGAGGTGGGACCGGATTCAAACGCAGCGACTCCAGAGGTTTATCTAACCCCTATCTCCTCCTCTTTCCTAAGGCAGCCCAGCTCAGAGCCCGCCTGCTCCTCCAAGCGAACCGACCCTGTTCCTCCTGGACACCCACAGCTCCCAGCGGCTCGCTTCCCGGCTGGGAGCGCCCCCCCGCCAGGGACAAGCACGTACTCGAAATACGTTTCTCGGGATCTTCTTCCTCTTCATCTCCGCTGTCCTCCTGAACAGCGTCCTCGGGGATGGGCTGCATCTGGACGCCGGGGGCGTGCGGCAGCATGCGCAGGTTCTCAAAGAGCCGTTGCCTAGAGGCGGGCGGGAAAGGAACACCTCCGTGAGCACGGTCCCAGCCCCCGGCCAGAGGGGACAGTCGCGAAAGGAACGCACTTACTTGATCTTCTCGAGATACTCGTTGGTGTTCTGGTTAGTCATGTTGGAGGGACTGATGTGGAGCTTAAAGTCTGGCCCAAAGTACTCAAAATAGTCATTATATGGCAGTTCTGCAGGCAAGCGAAAAAGGAATAAACACCAAATTACCACCGGACCAGGAATTAAATACCACACGCCCTGAAATACCCAAACCGTGTTCAGCCCCACGCGGGAGCTGAAGGTCTCTCAGCCCGAATTTAGACCAAACCAGACCATGAGCAACGGGGCAGCGAAAGCTCGCTCGGCAGCCAAACACCCACAGCGTGCACGGAAGCTTCCGGCGGCAGGTCGCCCCGTGTCAGCAGACGGCAAGGCCGCTGCGCACCTTCTGCCGGACTCGACCGCACACTCCACCACCCGCTGCAGGGCAGGGAATCCAAGAGCCCTTCCACAGGAATAACCAAAAGCTCACGGAACACCGTAGGGCTGCTGCCTCTCCCACAGCAACGTCGTTTCCCTGTTACTAGGGTGTTGCCGTCTTGCTTCCAAGGCTCCTGGGGAGAATTACCATTGGGAATTTCAGTGTCCAACGCCACGGCCGTCTCGTAGGTCCAGCATCTAGCCACGTTGCGGATCGTGTAGCCACCTCCTCCCAGCATCAGCATCGGCAAGTTAAAACTTTTTACGAACTCCACGCACTTGGCATGACCTGCAGCGAAAGCAGCGGGGGAAAAAGGTCCCCGCGGTGTAGGAAC